CCCTGACTTGTTCTCGGTCCCTCTCTGTGTTCAGTTGATGAACATGATCAGTTCCATTTATTTTAGATACAGGAAGGTGATTTAGGTGGGGACAAGTGAGCAGCAGCTATAATAAAGTAACAATTAAAAGGGTTTGTGAGTGGGAGAGTGATAGTGAATATATGTCTGCTAATTTATATATATGTATAGAATAATAATAATAATAATAATAATAATAGTAATGATAATAATGCAGTTTTCCACCTACACTCTATGCTGCATTATTTCTTTCCAAATTTTGCTGATGAAGGTTTATTGTCATGAAAATGTCTCTTCTCGCAAAAAGAATCATGCACTTCCTTCTCTGCAGTGGCAGATAACTCTGAATAACTACTGTATTTCAGCAGTTTTTAAGCCTAGTCGAGTGTGACTACATACACAAATCATCTGATTCCTATCCCAGATTTTTTTCTGTAGCTTTAAGCCGTTTTGCTCTTGGTTTTTGCTGACTGATGTCTCCCCCGCTTGGTATTGCGGCTGTTCAAAAAGGGTTTTGTGTCCGCATGTTTTCTTACGAAGTGATATTGTTGCTGATATCCTTCAGCTTTTGCTTTCCCTGCAAAACTTGGCACAGTTTTAAAACATCCTCATATCGATAGGGTCAAAGGTGTCCTTTTCATGAGATAGTGGCTGTTTCCTGCTCTGTTTGATCATCTGTAATCTATTAAATGCCAGGAAATACCTTGCCTTGTTTCCCCACAGCCCAAAGTCGCTTCTTTAGATCATTCAGTCGCAGTGTCTGGCATTGCTTTTAGTTGTGAAAATTCAAGTTTTACTCAAAAAAGCAGCACCCCAGTAAAGATATATGACCAAATGGTACATTTTACTTCTCAGAGGTGTAAATAAACACAGTGTGCTGAAAATATTTCTATTATTAAATTGATTTAAGCAGTTTTACGGCTGAGGAATTATCATCATGCTACAGGAAGCTTTATCTAAACACACTTGGTAGGCAGATGCATGCCCCATCTGTCTGCCTTCTTATCGAGTTGTTTCTGTCTTTTCAGGCTCTCAGGATGCAGCCCACGACATTGACACCCTGCAGAGATATAAGGTCAGTACAGAGGGATCAATAGGGCGGGCATGCCCTTGCTTTGTTGTGATAGCATGTGTAGTGACATGACATTAGAGGCAGCTATGTAGCTGAGCTTTCCTGTGGGTCAGCAGCAGCCAGCGAATAGCCAGAAGAGCTTCATGACTCATGCAGTGACAGTTTAGCACAGTAGAGGGAGTAAATGATTACAGTAAGTCTCAGCGCTGCTCCTCCACATCAGTGAAATGTGACTAGTCCTTCTCTGCAGTGGCTGCTCCCAGGCATGGGCATATTGCTGCCTGTGCAGTCTCAGGATGATGAATTGGAGAGATTACGACTACCTTCACTTCCTGTTTCTAGGATGAAACCTTGGCTGTCTAAATTCAGGTTTTCTTAGATAGCTATTAAACTCAGGAGATTTGACAGCCTGCCCAAAGGCACTTTATAAAAACCTGCTCTTACCAGTAGAACAATGCCTTTAAACACTGCAGTAGAGTATTTTGTTGGTAAATCTCACATCGAGACTGGCAGAATGTCAGATCTACTCACTGTAAAACGGACATATTATAGATGTGATGCTACAGAGAGTA